CGATCAGCCGATTCCCAGTGGAGGAGCCCCACGGGTCGCCAGCGCGACTCTTGTGGCCGCCGCAGCGGTTTTGCCGGTGCCTTGGCGCAGCAGCTCTTCATGCAGAGAAAACGGGACCGCTTCCCCTACTGACCGGAGTTTGGAGCTCCGGGAAGTTAGAGCCTCTTGTTGTGGACAAGAGGGAAGCCAGACCAGAGATTCCTGGGCAGAAGAGCACCATCAGTCTTATTGCTGCTATTTAGGCTGCCACAGTGGGTTGCTCGGATCCCAGCACTGGGAATCAATAAATCGGACGTCGACTCAGAAACCTAATTAGAAAGGCGGTTCATCTACAATGAAGGGAAAAAAACAGCCTAAGAAGGCCGAGTATACTCAAAATCAGAATTCATCAGCAACGGAACAAGCCCTGATGGAAAAGAACTCATCAGTAATGGAGCAAGCCCTGATTGAAAAGGACTGTGTTCCAGCATCTGAAGTAGGCTTTAAAAGGTGGATGATAAGAAACTTCTGGGAGTTAAAGGAACTTGCTCTAACCCAATGTAAAGAAACTAAGAACATGGAAAAAAGGTTCGATGAAATGATGAAAAGAATAGACAATATAGAGAGGAATACAAATGAACTAATGGAGTTGAAAAATACAACAAGAGAACTTAGTGAAATATGTACAAGCTTAAACAGTCGAATGGATCAAGCAGAAGAAAGGACATCAGAGGTCCAAGACCAACTTAATGAAATAAAACGACAAGACAAGAATAGAGAAAAAAGGATAAAAAGGAATGAGCAAAGTCTCCAAGCAATATGGGACTATGTGAAAAGACCTAATTTACGTTTGATTGGTGTACCTGAATGTGATGGAGAGAATGAATTTAAGCTGGAAAATACTCTCCAGGACATTATCCAGGAAAATTTTCCCAATTTAGCAAAGCAGGACACTATTCAACCACAGGCAATACAGAGAACACCACAAAGATATTCCTCAAGAAGACCAACCCCAAGGCACATAATCGTTAGATTCACCAAGATCGAAACAAAGGAGAAAATACTAAGGGCAGCCAGAGAGAAAGATCAAGTTACCCATAAAGGTAAGCCTATTAGGCTTACAGCAGATCTCTCAACGGAAACCCTACAAGCTAGAAGAGAGTGGGGGCCAATATTCAATATACTTAAAGAACAGAACTTTCAGCCCAGAATTTCATATCCTGCCAATTTAAGCTTTACAACTGAAGAAAAAATAAAATCTTTTAGGAACAAGCAAGTACTCAGAGATTTTATTACCACCAGGCCTGCTTTACAAGAACTTCTAAAAGAAGCATTATACATAGAAAGGAACAGCCAGTTTGAGCCTTTCTAAAAATACACCTAAAAGTACAGAGCACTAACATAAAGAAGAATTTACATCAACGAAAGGACAAAATAGCCATTTAATATCAAATGGCAGCAACCCTAAATTTAAATCGACCAAATCTCCCAATCAAAAGATACAGACAAAATCTAACGGTATATCCAAAGATACACATAGACTCAAAATAAAGGGTTGGGAAAAAAAAACTTACCAACCAAATGGGGAGCAAAAATAAATAAAAAGCAGGAGTTGCAATTTTCACATTTGACAAAATAGATTTCAAAGGTACAAGGATACAAGGGTAAAAGGTTTAATGTAATAATAAGAGATCTTAACACCCAGATACATAAGACCTATAATGAGATTTAGATTCAATGAGACAGAAAATTGATAACGATATTCGGGACTTGAACTAAGATCCAGAACAAATAAATTCAATAGAACTCCCCATTTTAAACACACAAAATATACATTGTCCACAAAATCTAACGGTATACCTAAAGATATACAAAGACTCAAAACAAGGGGTTGGAAAAAAACTCACCAATTAAATGGAGAGCAAAAATAAATAAATAAAAAGCAGGAGTTGCAATTCTCACACTTAATAAAATAGATTTCAAAGCTATAAGGATACAAGGGTAAAAGGATTAATGTAACAATAAGAGATCTTAACACCCAGATACATAAGACACATAACGAGATTTAGATTCAACGAGACAAAAAAATTGATAATGATATCCAGGACTTGAACTCAGAGCCAGAACAAATAAACACAATAGAGCTCTCCATTTTAAACACACAAAATATGCATTAACCACTTTAAACACACAAAATATTGATCGGCCATTATTGAAACCCATTTTAGGAATGAAGTAATATTCCTTTTTCCCTCTTTTCCTCTTTTTCCCGCTTTAAAAAAAAAAATCCCAATGGAAAAAATATTAGTTCTGAACTGTCATATATTAAATATATACTGACAAGCAATGCAGCTACCTTAAAAATTACATAAATATAAGACTTATATTACCTTTAATTCAGCCTTTTACTTTCCGCGGTTTGAGAAAAGAATCAGTTTGAGGAAATGGAATCACTATTTATAAAAAAAAAAAAAAAAAAAAAAGAATTATTTCAGTATTTTCCAGACTTCTCTCCTCCTGCTTCTTTTTTTGACCTCTTTAAGTTTCTTCTCAATGTGGTAATGTGAGCATCTTGCAAAGAGGTAAATCAAGTCATGTCATCCTTTTGTTCAAACTCTTCATTGGATTCTCATCTCACAAAGCCAGGGCCTAGAAGGTCCTAGAAGGTATTCGTCCCTCTCTTCCACCCGCGACTTGTCTGATTGCATACCCTTCTCATCTCCTCTAATTCATTCCTTCCCAGCCACACTGGCTTCCTTGCAAAAAAAAAAGAAGAAATGCAAATGGCCAACTAAGGAACAACTGGTGTATCTGAACGGTAATCAAGAACTTGCAAGATTGTACCACGGTGAGGTACTACTAACTGCCACCAGATTGGCAAAAACTAGAAGAATCTGACAGAATCAAATGTTGTCAGGGATAGTACATAATAGGAACTCTCATTGACTGCTGGCTTATGAATTGTTGGAGCCACTGGAAAACTATTTGCTATTGCATCCATTAAAGTTGGGCTAGGAGACGCAAAAGCAATGTGGGAGAAACTGAGTAAAGGTCTACAAAAAGAGCAAGTGGAAGTCAGAAATATCTCTAACCGGGTTCCACCAAGGTGGTGGGTGAGTCAGCGGAAGCTAGGTCACTGCCTTAGCCTAAGTCTCTGTAGGATAAGAAGTAGCAAAAAGCAAAAACAGGCTGGAGTGCACATCTGTCTAACCGCATCTGACACTGACAGGCAGGTGTCTTACAGAAGAAACTGCTGGTACTCTTTGCCAGAGAGTTGCACACATTCCTGGCCTGGAAGTTGGAAGAGTAGAGGCAGGAATGTGGGCTGTGCACTGTCCCACTTAACCCAACAAGTTGGCAGATCCACAGCAACCTGAGAAAGCCAAGGGGTGCCAGGCCCCATATTAGCCTGTGAGCATGATGGCTATTAATAAACCTCTGCCTTCTAAATCCTATGTAGATTTCTCTGTGATGAAGCTGTTACCCAGAACCAGGCCAGACAGAGAACCTAGGAAGTAGTTTTAGCTTAGCTGCATTGACACAGGATGAAACCACCATAGTTCACCCCATTGTGATCTTGACATCTATACATAGCTCTTTAAACCATATTTAACTTCCAAACAAAGACCCTAGTACATTAAAAATCATGCTTTTAACTCTTACATAACTTCAAAGATGCCAGCTTCATTAGCCAAAACAAGATAGAAAGTTACCTTATCCTTCTTTGGGTAATGTTGATTTTTCTTCTAGCTGAGTCATACCTCTTCCCTTTTCTATTCTTTAACTTTACTGAGATATAAGGTTAACCTGTTAAAATATTTTGTTATATGGTACGGAAGTAAGAGAGTGGAAAAATAAGAACTAATATATAGTGATACATAATGCCACACTTGTTTGCTAAAAAAATGAGTTCTCTGGTTAGAAGCAATGCTAGGCTGGGGCATTTGCTCAAGGAGCAAATTGAGCAAATGAGACATTCTCTATGTCCATGGATAGTGGGTTTGGGTTATGGGTGACAGTGGCAAATTCTTGTCCAAAGGGAGTGTGTGTTCCAGTAAGACCAAAGCACTGCCTTTTCCCATGATGCACATAGTCAAGTACAACCAAGCTGCCATCAGAGGTCTGGCTCCTCTTTCCTGGCAGTAACACTATTGAAAGCCCAATAATGGTTCCTGCTGTTGGTAAGTGGAATGCACAGTAGCAGCTGTAGCAAAATCAGCCTTGGGGAGTGGAAGTAATGTTGCTGAGCCCATGGTTATTCTTCCTCCCAACCTGGTGGCCCCTTTGTTCATCAATTCACTGGAAAGAAGGGCAGAAGTGACCAGCAACTGAACAGGTCATGTCCACCGATTTTATTTATTTATTTATTTATTTATTTTTGGGACAGGGTCTCACTCTGTTGCTCAATCCAGAGTATAGTAGCTTAGTCATTGCCCAGTGTAACCTCAAACTTCTGGGCTCAAGCAGTCCTCCCGCCTCAGCCTTCAAACTAGCTAGGACTACAGATACACACCACCATGCCTGGCTAATTCTTTTCTTCTTTGTAGAGAGGAGGTGTTGCTGTGTTGCCCAGGCTGGTCTCAATCTCTTGGCCTCAAGGAATCCTCCCCTTTCTGCCTTCCAGAGTGCTGGGATTAAAGGTGTGAGCCACTGTGCCCAGCCCCACTCATTTTTAGACACTAATTCATAGTCTGCCCATTTGTAGAGATCTGTCCACATACCTCTTGCCCTAACTTCCATGTCACCGGTTTTCTAATTCTCTTGAGGCCCTGGCTGTTCTTGTTTAGTCCAGCTATTGGCCAGTGTCCACGAATCAGTGTAGATCTACTCCTAGCTATTTCTACTTCTGAGCAAAATGACCAGCCAGCCGCACTGAATGAAGTTGTTCCCATTGGGAGGATTTCCACCCATCACTATTCTTCAGTCAGAACAGGGCTATAAGACTGTAATTGTCTGCTTCGGATGGCACAGCGTGTTAAGCCCTACACAGCAAGCCCTAAAATGTTTTCTTTCTCTGTCAGCCAGACCTGGAAGACTTCCTACAAGGCCACTTCCTGTGGTTGAGAGAAGAGACCCTGTGGGCCTAAGCTGCGCATGAGCATCTAGCCACTGGTGCAGCAAGTTCCTCGTTCCTTGAGCAAATGCCCCAGCCTAGTCTCATACCTGCCATTTCTGCTCAGGAGTTGGAGTCCGTCCTGTATCACAGCCATTACCAGTCATCTACATGAACCTGCATCCCCAGGCAACATGTAGTGTTCTCTAAATGAGATTGTACTGCGCGTGTTCTGTGCATCTTGCTTGTTTCCACATCTGTTCCTGAGTCATATAACATCTGACTGTAATTATCATTTCTTAATATAAGCTTTTCATGGTGAAGCTTGAGATTCTGATATAGGAGGAAATTTTAAGAGGAGCTGTATTATAAAGAGAAAATACTAAAATAGAAAAAACAATTAGCCCTATATTTGAGATTATGAATATTAATGATGTTTATTCTGCAACGTTAAGATTTCCTACCATTAACGTGTCATTAAAGGCTGGTTTTATAGAAAAGGCAGTATCTTTTGATAGAAATTAAGGGGAAAGCATTGTTGTAAAAAGATATGTGATAGTTTATAGTTAAATAGGAAAAATTAAATGACTTCAGTTTTGAACTGTCATTAACGCTGAAAGAATTGTCATTATTTTTTAGAAGTATAAAACCAAACCAACTTACTGAGTCTTAGTGGAAAAGCACAATTAAATGACTTCAGTTTTGAACTGTCATTAACCCTGAAAGAATTGTTGTTGTTGTTATTTTTTAGAAATACAAAACCAAACCGAGTCACTGGGTCTTAGTGGAAAAGCACTTTGTGTGACTGCAGGATCGGCTCCCTCTCCGATCAACAGTTCCAGTACTCTTTGTCAGTATGTCAACCTGCAGCTCCTGAATGCAGAGCCACAAGGTATGTGCCTCCTCACAGCAGGCAGAGTGTGCGGTGCTGGGCATTAAGGTTCTGTGTATACGTGTATGTTTCTAGTCAGCTTCAAAGTATTGCTTTAAAGTGTAGGCTCCCACGCTGCTTTAGGGAGCATCCACAGACTTTTCTTTTGGTGTGTTTTCTTAGACACCCTCAATTATCTGGCATGGTTAGGAAATGAAAAAATTGGTGAGGCAGAAATTACAACTAAATTGTTTAAGTGCCAAAACATTTTAATTTCTAATTTTACTTTCTTTCTGGGGGAAAATGTTCTGAAAACTTGTATACCTCCATGCCTGAGTCAACAGACTAGATTTTAGCGATTTTTTTCCTGATAGTTTAGGATCTACATTGTGCACATTTGCACTGAAGTCTTTGGGGTCTTCACTTGACTATGTACTAAATATCTGTTCCCCAAGCTTCTGGGCTTTTATATAAGGTTTTTTTTTCTTTTTCCCCTTTCCCTTCACCTCTGAAATCTTCAAGGCTGTTTCTGCAAGGACTGCATCTCCCGTGGTCACGCTTATGCTTCTGGATCCACTGCTGGTCTCAGCACTGCCTGTTAGAGCTGTCCACCGTGGCCTCCTGTGTTGGAGATAGAGGGTGAACTCGAGATTTAATTCAGTTTGTTCTTTCTTCCATAGAGTGTTTAATGGGGACAGTAGGTACTCTCCTGCTTGAAAACCCACTTGGGCAGAATGGACTTAACCACCAAGGTCTTCTATATGAAGCAGCCAATGTGTTTGGCCTTCAGAGCAGGAAGCTAAAGCTATTTCTGAATGAAACCCAAATGCAAGGTAAGGGGATTATGGACCATAAGTTTTTTTAGTTTTGTTGAAAGTAGATTTTGATGTTATTAACCATTTGTAGCATACATGTGTAAGATAGTACTGTTGTTATTCTTTTTTGTTATTCCTTCCCCAGAAATTTACCATAACATAATTTTGTTTTTTGTTGTTGTTTTTGTTTTTGAGACGGAGTTTTGCTCTTGTTCCCCAGGCTGGAGTGCAATGGCATGATCTCGGCTCACTGCAACCTCCGCCTCCTGGGTTCAAGCAATTCTCCTGCCTCAGCCTCCCGAGTAGCTGGGACTACAGGCACGCACCACCATGCCCAGCTAATTTTTGTATTTTTAGTAGAGACGGTGTTTCACCTTGTTGACCAGGATGGTCTCGATCTCTTGACCTTGTGATCTTCCCGCCTCAGCTTCCTAAAGTGCTGGGATTATAGGCGTGAGCCACCATGCCTGGCCTTTTTTTTTTTTTTTGTTAAGGTGGAATCTTGTTCTGTCTTCCAGGTTGGAATGCAGTGGCACAATCTGGGCTCACTGCAACCTCCACTGCCTCCTGGTGGGTCCAAGTGATTCTCCTACCACAGCCTCCTGAGTAGCTGGGAATACAGGCCCCCAACATCATGCCCAGCTCATTTTTGTATTTTTAGTAGAGATGGGGTTTAATGGGTTTTAACCATTTTGGTCAGGCTGGTCTTAAAACTTCTGATCTCAGATAATCAGCCCACCTCGGCATCCCAAAGTGCTGGGATTACAGGCATGAGCTATTGCACCAGGCCAAAATACAATTTTTAAATAGCAATTAAAAGAATAATTACTTCTTGAGAAATCTAAAAACTACATTGGTATGTTATTAAAAATACATGCTTCTAGGTAAATTAGCATATCTGCTGACCCTAAAATTGTTTTCTTCCCCAAAAGTCAAAATTATCACAGAGTTGTAAAATAATAACTCATTCCTTGAAGGAAACTCACAGCTGCTCTGATACTTCCCTTTACAGTTTATAAAACATGCTTACCTGCATGTTTCTCCTTGAGACACGTAACACTGTGAAGAGCTAGGTCATCAGTTGACATATTCCACATTCTATCATCTAATATTGCAGCTGCAATTTAGAATTAGATCATTTCCCCGGACAGCTTCACTTTGTGAGATCTGTTTTTTCTATTTATAGCTATTCTAGACATCCCAACTCAAAACTTTTACCATCCCATCCTTTTATTTGTAACACCTGATAGCCTGGGGTTTATTGGGCTTTCTGCATCAGTATTTCTGTTTGTGTGTGTGTGAGAGAGAGAGAGAGAGAGAGAGAAATTGGGTCTTGCTCTGTCACACAGGCTGGATTGCAGTGACTCAATTACAGCTCACTGCAGCCTCAAGCTCCTGGGCTTCAGTGTTCCTCCCACTTCAGCTTCCCTAATTTTAAAATTTTTTGTCGAGACAGTGGCTCACAAAGAGGTCCAGGCTGGTCTTGAACTCCTGACCTCAAGTGATCTTCTCACCTTGGGCCCCCAAAGTGTTGGGATTATAAGCAGGAGCCACCACACTCTGCCTGATTTCTACCATTTTTCTTCTCCTCTTTCTTTCTTTTTCTTATTTTTTTTTTTTTTTTTTTTTTTTCTCTTTGAGACAGAGTTTCACTTTTATCACCCAGGCTGGAGTACAGTGGCACGATCTCAGCTCACTGCAACCTCTGCCTCCTGGGTTTGAGTGATTCTCCTGCCTCAGCCTCCTGAATAGCTGGAATTACAGGTGCCCACCACCATGCCCAGCTAATTTTTGTTTTTTTTAGTAGAGACAGAGTTTCACCATGTTGCCCAGGCTGGTCTCTAAGTCCTGACCTCAGGTGATCCACCTACCTTGGCCTCCCAAAGTGTTGGGATTAAAGGTGTGAGCCACTGCACCTGGTCCACTGTATTCTTTCTTGGAGTTTCCATCTTTCTGTTTACGTTGCCCATCTGCTCTGTTTGTTTTCTATGTTTCGTTGAAGCCCAGTTTTAAGAAGTATATGTCTAGATCCTTAGACACTGTAAACCCAGACCCACTTTAAGCTCAATTATTTTGGACCGTAGTTAAGAAAACTGTGACTGGCCAGACTCAGTGGCTCACACGTATAATCCAAGTACTTTGGGAGGTTGAGGTGGGACGATCCCCTGAGGTTAGGAGACCAGCCTGGCCTATATGGTGAAACCCCATCTCTACTAAAATTAGCTGGGCATTGTGTTGGATGCCTATAATTCCAGCTACTTGGAAGGCTGAGGCAGGAGAATCGCTTGTACCTGGGAGGTGGAGGTTGCAGCGAGCTGAGATTACACCACTCCAGCCTGGGCAACAAGTGAAACTCTGTCTCAAAAAAAAAGCTATGACTTTCCCAGTCATACACAAAGGCCAGGGGTTGTAACAGAGACAGAATCTGTCTATCCCTACTCCAAAACAAAGCTAAGTGAGGTGATTCTTTCTGTATTGGTTTTTGTGACTGCTGCAACAGATTTCACAATGGGGTTGCTCAGGTCAACAGGTTTATTCTCTCACAGCTCTGGAGGCCAGACATCTGAAATTAGGGTGTCAGCAAGGCTGCAGTCTCTCTGAAGGCTCTATGGGAGAATTCCTTGTTTACTTCTTCCAGCTGCTGGAGGTGCCCAGCATCCCTTGACTTGTGGCCGCATCACTTCAGTCTCTGGCTCGGTGATCACTTTGCCTCCTCCTCTGTCTGTTTCCTCTTTTTCCAAATAAAGTTACAGTCACAGCTCCTGGGAATCTAGAACCTGGGCATATCTTTGGAAGGCCATTATTAACCCATTACATTATCTTCACTTTATTTGATGTGGTGAAGGAACTTACTCAAATTAACCGTTTTGCTCCAGGTTTCTTATTTGAAGTTCCAGTTTCTTCAGCAGTTTTGTTGGACTTCCCAGGTTGTATAGACCAGAGGCTTTTCTTTCCCTGCTTTCAGAGTGCTTTAGAGCCAAAAGCAATAAGTCCCCAGACCCCATGGAGTCATTATGTTTGGCCTCCCATTTTCTTGCTGTCCAGCTATTTTTTTTAAAAATTTGGTTGCATATCATACTTTTAAATTTCCTGTCATAATGTTAAACACCAAAGCTTTATTTCTGCATAGGCTTCTCCTTCCCTATCTGGGTTTCTTTTTAGTGACTCTCCTTTGTCTTTTTCCCTCCCATCTAGTTGGGCCTCATCATCCATGAAAGTCACCAGTCTGCAGACTGTACACTTCATGTACATTCCTGCCTTGATGTTTTTCCCCAGCTTAGAGCCCCCAAGGCTCCCATTCTCTTACATTTCAGAATCTTTACTTTCACACAAGATCCTTCCTGTTCTGGGCCTTGCCTGTCTTTCTGATTCTGTCCCTGATTCTTTCACTCTGTTGAAGGCTTTTTTCACTCTCCTTCCAACACACTTGGCTCTTTCATTGTGGTATGGTAGTAAAGACAATCTATAAATGTAGCTTCCTATTTTGATAAGCTTATATAAAACTTTAGTGATATTCTTAACTCTTTTCTACTCCCTCAAATCCATTGGTCACCAAGTTGTGCAGTGGAGCTGAAGATGACATTTATCTCTTGCTTGTTCTGTGCAAATATATGCGGTGCCATGATTGAAGCTGGTCAGGGTAGAATCGTGTCTGTGTGAATTACGTATTTATAATACTACCTGCAGTTCACATAACTAGTTAACCTATGTTGCCTTCCTATAGTCTCTTTATTCTGTGATGTTAGCTAAGCAAAAGTTTAGTAGGTGAGAGCTTTTTCTTTTTTGAGACAAGAGTTTCGCTCTTTGTTGCCCAGGCTGAAGTGCAGTGGCACGATCTTGGCTCACTGCAACCTCCACCTCCTGGGTTCAAGTGATTCTTCTGTCTCAGCCTCTTAAGTAATTGGGATTACAGGTGCCCGCCAGCATGCCCAGCTAATTTTTTTATTTTTAGCAGAGATAGGGTTTCGCCGTGTAAGCCAGGCTGATCTTGAACTCCTAACCTCAGGTGATTGACCCGCCTCAGCTTCCCAAAGTGCTAGGTTTACAGGCATGAGCCATGGGGCCCAGTTGAGAGCTTTTAAAGATTTAGTGATTTACCTAAGATTATCACATAGTCGCGACTTTTTCTAATTTACTATCGTTCCAGTCTAGTATCTGTAGCTTTCTTTTCATTATGCTTTTTCTCTCAGAATTCTTTCATAAAGTATCAAGAACTTAATAAATGAGAAGAGCCACAAAATATTGACCATTTTAGAAACTCCCAGATGTGGCTGGGCACAGTGACGCATGCCTGTAATCCCAGCACTTTGGGAGGCCAAGGCAGGTGATCACTTGAGGTCAGGAGTTCCTGACCAGCCTGGCCAACGTGGCAAAATCCCGTCTCTACTAAAAATACAAAAATTAGCTGGGCATGATGGCAGGCATCTGTAATCCCAGCTACTTGGGAGACTAGGGCAGGAAAGTCACTTGAACCTAGGAGGCAGAGGTTGCAGTGAGCCGAGATGATACCACTGTACTCCAGCCTGGGTGAGAGAGCAAGGTTCTGTCTCCCCTCAAGAAAAACTCGTAGATGTCTTCTTTCATGCTCCTCTAAACCCTAAACATCATCTCCAGGTCTTGTGATTATCTATTAAGGAAGTAGCTTTAAGAGTATTTTCACGGCCGGGCGCGGTGGCTCACGCCTATAATCCCAGCACTTTGGGAGGCCGAGGCGGGTGGATCACGAGGTCAAGAGATCGAGACCATCCTGGTCAACAAGGTGAAACCCCATCTCTACCAAAAATACAAAAATTAGCTGGGCATGGTGGCACGTGCCTGTAATCCCAGCTACTCAGGAGGCTGAGGCAGGAGAATTGCCTGAACCCAGGAGGCGGAGGTTGCGGTAAGCCAAGATCTCGCCATTGCACTCCAGTCTGGTAACAAGAGCGAAACTTTGTCTCAAAAAAAAAAAGAGTATTTTCACATCTAGGATTGCCTGCTAGGACAAGAGCTTTTTTTTTTTGAGACTGAGTTTCGTTCTTGTTGCCCAGGGCAATCACTTAACCTTAGGTCACCGTGACCTCCACATCGGGGTTCAAGCAGTTCTCCTGCCTCAGCCTCCTGGGTGCTGGTATTACAGGCACATGCCACCATGCCCGGCTAATTTTGTGTTTTTAGTAGAGATGGGGTTTCTTCATTTTGGTCTGGCTGGTCTTGAACTCTCTACCTCAGGTGTTCTGCCTGACAAGAGCTATTTGTAAAGAAAGTTCATCTGTTTAAATTCAGATCTGACAGGAAGCAAAATGTTCCACAGTAGATGGATAACTTTAATTTTTTTTCTTTTTGAGTTGTATATTCAATACATTTTAATGAATTACATTTGTGTGATACTTTTGGATGCTCAGAGTTTTCATCATTGTCCATATTGAATCCTGTGTTCTTTAACATGATCCTTTGTCTTTGGAAATTCTTGCTTTTTCACATAGCAACATATCCTTGGCTTATTATATACTCTTATTTCTCCAGACCTAGAAAATAGCTGTTCTTCAAAGTATAGAGAAGCATATTTTGAAACCACGTGTCTGGGATACCGAGTTGGCACAGCTTCTAGTCCTTTTTTGTAGACACAGGAAATACCTGTTTATGAGGAAAAATAACCATCTTGGTAGTATCCGGAGTTAGCCAAACTGTGAAGTGATGGCATAGTCCTCCAGAAGTCTCCAGGAGTCTGTCCAAAATCTAACTCCACCTGCAAGGAGTTAGGCCTCTACTATGAACTCAGGAAAGAGTCCACACAAGACCCCCATCACTGCTGGCACGAACTGCAAGTTCCAGGTGTTTTCCTAGACCACCGTTAGGTTCAGTAACCTGCTGAGAGGACTGACTCACTGAAAGGTATTATACTCACGGTTTCATGTACTATAGGGAAAGGATACACATTAGAACCAGTGAGAGAGAGAGAGAGAGCACACACATCTACATATATATGTATGCTCCGTAAGTGAATTCCTTAGGCAATTGCCTTTACTAGGCAATTCAGTATATTAGATGATTGATTGATTGATTAGAATCCCAGAGGGATGCAAATAAGGATCACCAGGTCATCTCTCCCTGGAGTCATGGATAATGTTTCCTCCTCCCATCCCTTACATCTGACAACACAGGGACTGTATTACCAGCCAGGGAAGCTCACTTGAGCCTTGCTGTCCAGTTTTTATTGAGGTTTCATTCTATAGATATGATTGTTACCTTTCTCAGCTAATACCATGTTACCCAAAGTCCCCATTCTAAATCATATACTTGGTCTTTCTGTCGTGGCCAGCATTACCTTGAATCATCTCATGAGCAACAACTGTCAGTTTTGGTGAACATGCTGACCATGAGAAACAAAGACTCTCCTACTAGGAAATTCCAAGGATTTAGAGATTCCCCTCAGGAGCTTGGACAGAGAGCAGAACTCAGGATAGGGCCAACTTCCTTACTACACAAGCAGTTAACATTTTTAAAAATATTCACCCACAATAGGTAAAATACTGATTTTCATTTCAACCTTTTCTTTTTTTTTTTTTTTTTTAGATGGAGTTTCGATCTTGTTACCCAGGCTGGAGTGCAATGGCGCGATCTCAGCTCACCGCAGCCTCCGCCTCCTGAGTTCAAGCAATTCTCCTGCCTCAGCCTCCTGAGTAGCTGGGACTGCAGGCGTGCGCCACCATGCCCAGCTAATTTTTGTATTTTTTAGTAGAGCTGGGGTTTCACCATGTTGACCAGGATGGTCTCGATCTCTTGACCTCGTGATCAACCCATCTCTGCCTCCCAAAGTGCTGGGATTAAAGGCATGAGCCACCGCGCCGGCCCTCAACTATTTCTTTTCATTCTAGAAATTACAGAGGACATCCCCATGAAGACTTTGAATATGAAGACTGTGTATGTTTCTGTATTACCAACAATAGCAGACTTCTAGCATGCACTTATCAATGTTGTTCAGTCAGCCTTTCCCTGACTTACATCCATCCCCTGTATATAATGTGCACATAGACACACTCACGTGAACACACTGAAGATTTTTTTTTCAGGTACCTGTACAATATGCTGCTTGGATTGAAATTCAAATGAAATTGATCAGTCAAGTAACTTGAGGCCTCACAATAATCTTCACACTTAAGCTTAGACACCTATGCAGTCATGTTAGGAGGAGGTTACAGTGTTACTTCAGCACCACAGTTTATTTCTATACTTAAGTACAGAAGGTAGAAGCAATTTAAATGGTATAGCATATATATCATTTTCCGGCCTTTTAAAATTTGAGTGGAGCAGCTGCGGCACCAGCAGCAGCAGTGATGGTGGCAGCAGCAGAGCTGAGGAGGGCTGACGCTAGCACTGGAGAGCGGTGGAGCGACCCAGGGCTGGGCTGCCACCACAGCTCCGGCTGAGCCGCCCGCGCCCCTGCCCCCCATGCATGTCACCCCTTGCCTGCCACCCCTCATGCACTGGGGGTGCTGCACGGGCACCGAGCCTTCATGGGCTTTGTCGCTGCCGCTGGTGAGGGAGATGTGGGGTTGGGGGCTGGAGGGCGCACATGGTGCCCCCTCTTCCGCCACCTTTTCTGGCTCGGCAGGCCCCTTGGACACGGGCGGCCTGGCAGCATTCGTGCTACCTGTGTAACCTGCCCCGCGTGATCTGGGACTTCACCGAACCCGTGTGCCTTGGCTGCGTCAACTACGAAGGCGCCAACCGCGTTCAGTTTATCATTGAGACTGCGCAGCAGCCAGAGCGGGTGCACGGCTGGTTCCCGGAGGGTCACTCCCTGCCCAGCATCACAGCCCTGACTGCCACCAAACCGCTGCTGCTCTTTGCCAAGGACACACTCCTGCAGCAGCAACAGCTCGGCCAGGGTGGCCCTGCGCGTGCCGCAGGCCCTGGAGCACTACCCTCTGGCGGCCCCTGCGCCTTGGCTCGGACTTCGGTGGCAGCCGTCCGGCAGCGAGCCTGGCCCAGCCACCAATGCCGCAGCCGCAGACCGTGAACGGCATCTTGGTGCCCAATGGCTTCTCCAAGCTGGAGGAGCCGCCAGAGCCCAAACCCGTGGCGTGGCCACACGGTGCCGCCCACCCTGGTGCCTGGTGCCTGGTGCCCACCGCGCTCAGCCTCGGCAGCCGCACTACCAACTACTTAGCCACGGTGTCCGGAGCCTGACCCACCGACCTGGGTGCCCACAAGCGGTCGGCCTCCGTGACCAGCAGCGTGGCAGTGGACCACAAGGAGTACGAGGTGGCAGCCAAAGCAAAGCAACCGCCGCCACCGGCCCACCAGGGCCCAGCCAACAGCTTGTCCACCGTGGCTGGCGCCGCCGAGCTGAGCGCTGAAGGTGCGGGCAAGAGCCGTGACTCTGGAGAGCAGGCCTGGGTCAACAGGCCCAAGACCATGCGTGCCACGCTGTTGGCGCTGCACCAGCACGGCCACTCGGGCCCCTTCGAGAGCAAGTTTAAGAAGGAGCCGGCCCTGACTGCAGGCAGGCTGTTGGGTTTCCAGGCCAACTGGTCTAAAGCAGTTGCAAGAACAGCAAGGAAAAGGAAGCCCTCTCCAGAACCAGAAGGTGAAGTCGGCCCCCTCAAATCAATGGAGAGGCCCAGCCGTGGCTGTCCACATCCACAGAAGGGCTCAAGATCCCCATGACTCCTACATCTTCTGTGTCTCCACTGCCACCCACTGCCTCACCTCATTCCAACCAGACTACACTGCCTGAAGCGGCCCAGAATGGCCAGTCCCCCATGGCAGCCCTGATCTTAGTAGCAGACAATGCAGCGGGCAGTCGTGTCTCAAAAGATGCCAAGCAGCTTCACTCCACTACCAGAAGGAATAGCAACAGTCCGCCCTCTCCGTCCTCTATGAACCAAAGAAGGCTGGGCCCCAGAGAGGTGGAGGGCCCAGGGAGCAGGCAACGCAGGAGGACTGGAGCCAGTGCACGCTGCCAGCCTCCCGGACTCCTCTCTGATAGCCGGTGCCCCCCTGTGCTGCACCCTCTGCCACTAGTGGCTGGAGGACACCCATTTTGTGCGGTGCCCGTCTGTCCCATCGCACAAGTTCAGCTTCCCTTGCTCCAGACAAAGCATCAAACAGCAGGGAGCTAGTGGAGAGGTCTATTGTCCCAGTGGGGAAAAATGCCCTCTTATGGACTCCAATGTCCTCTGGGTCTTTATGCAAGGGGAAATTGCAACCATCCTTGCTGGAGATGTGAAAGTGAAAAAAGAGAGACTCGTAAGTTTCCGTTTTCAGAAAAACCCAATGATTACTCTTAAATAAAACTGCTTGAATTGTATGTATGTGTGTGTGTGTATATTCCCTTGTCACGTACCTCCAAGACAAGGAAATGAAATATAGACTTCATAAACATGGCTGTATAATTTTGATTTTTTTTTTTTTTTTTTTTTTTAGACGGAGTTTTGATCTTGTTACCCAGGCTGGAGTGCAATGGCACAATCTCGGCTCATCACAACCTCCGCCTCCTGGGTTCAGGCAATTCTCCTGCCTCAGCCTCCTGAGTAGCTGGGATTACAGGCACGTGCCACCATGCCCAGCTAATTTTTTGTATTTTTAGTAGAGACGGGGTTTCACCTTGTTGACCAGGATGGTCTCGATCTCTTGACCTCGTGATCCACCCGCCTCAGCCTCCCGAAGTGCTGGGATTACAGGCTTGAGACACCACGCCCGTCCTAATTTTGATTTTTTTAAATACATTGTATTTATATTTTTTTGACGATAAAAGTTATGTACTTATAAAGGCATTTTTCTCTTTTGTTAATGTTATTAGCATATCTTTGTGCTTTATTATCCTGGTGACAGTTACCATTCTATGTAGGCTGTGACTTCTATGTAGGCTGTGACTTGCACTGCTTTTTTAGAGCACTTGGCAAATCAGAAATGCTTCTCGCTGTATTTGTATGCACTTACTTTAAAAAGAAAAAAAAAAGCCAAATACATTTTCTGACATTGTAAGATTGCCTTACTGTCTGTCATTCCTTATTGCTGGCCCCTTTCTCAGGCCGGAGGCCAAGTGGTGGAGAAGGAAAAGAAATGAGTGAGCGGGCATGCAGTCAAGTGGGCATGCCACTGGGAAATACCACCAGTTTACCCTGAAACATGGTCCTCAGAGGAGTAGGAAAGTAGATTTTGAATCTCTATTTTTTTCTTAAAAGTTGGGTTCCTGAGATACTGATGACTGAGAGTGCTGCTGGGAAATTTTCAGGATTGTGTGGTCTTTTGGGGTTTTTTGTTTGTTTTTAAGACAAAGTTGACCGCTGTTCACTGTCCACATGATTGGTTGTAAGATTACAATGCTGCATGCTAGTTGGTTACATAAACAATTCCAGTGATGGAAGGCGGTTATAATGGATGGTGGTGTGTACAAGATGGCACTGCCATCTTTGAGCAGAGCCTGGCTCTGCAGCGCCACTGCATCTTTTTAAACACCCTAGAGGTCTGTTTGTTGTTGCTGTTGTCCTTGATTTTGAAAGAGTTGCAAGAGAAGTTAGAGTCCAGGTGAACTTGGAGATTATGGGATTGGTTTTGTTTCTGTTTTGTTTATCATTTACCTGTAGTGCTATTGCTGTTGATACTATCACCTATACCCTGTTTCTAGTGAGTGCTGAATACGGATGGTACAATGACAGTAACAGCCGCGTGATGCTGCCAGGACTGCCCTTGAGCATATCAGTGACAGCCCAAATGTGAGTTGAGGAAACCTGTAATTTCCTTCTTACATGTGTTTGAAATACCAAGTGAATAATACTGTTCTGGAAAAAAAATGATAAACTAGTGGAAATTTAAGAAATTAAGGGTTTTATATAGTAGACAGGCCCCACCTCTCAAAATATTTTTAGAAGTCTTTTTGTAAACTAATTTCTTTTGATCACTATTTTGTGTCAGTAAAATGATTTTTTTAAAACCAATAAATCATCAATTATTAGAAAAAAATTTGAGACCTTTTGATGAAATGAACATATTATATATTTCTGCCACCCTGAGTTTCCTGGGTAATTTGATGGAATATTTTAAGTCTCAGTAAATCAACATTAAACTCAGATATAAATGTGTTGAAAGTAATTCATTCTTCCACAGTTAAATGAAACTTGAAATGTGTAATCTTTGAAGGACATAAAAACATGGTGGTTTCTGTATTAAAACGGTGGACTAAACATCTGATAAAACTTTTTTCCAAAATCCTGGATGATAATTTGAGTCCTCAAAGAAGCAAATGACATGACAAAATTAGATGTGCAAGAATTTATTAGAGGAAACATAAATGAAGGACAAACGGATGGACCAAGCATAGGTTGAGAGAGCCTCAGACTGTGATGTAGATCTGACACTGTAAAAAGAGAAAACGAAGATTGATTAGCAAAAACAGACTGCACTGCAACTCTGAGATGAAGTCTTGGTCAGGCCAATGGAGAGTTCCCAGGCAAGGATTCCTTTTAGTAGAGTTCATAGTTGGGCAGAAATAGCCTGGCTTTGTGCCTGACTTGCTGAAGTCAGTGTATGGGAGGAGGCCAAGGGGAGGATGTCTTGGCACAAATGCCTTGATGGATCTGAAAGTACCAGTTACAGTCCTCACATCAGATCCTTTGGAAGGGAGATCTGAATGGTAGATCTTCATGGCTGCTACAGAAGATGCATTGACACAAAAACCCTCAGGTTATTTCCAAAATAGAGGAAACAACCAGAATTTGGGGAATTGGAAAGCAGATAAACAGTGTTAACTAACTTGGTAGACCCAAGAAACCCCAGTTCTAAATGGAGAAACTAATAAACTTAGAGAATTCACAGCCCATTACCTCTGGGATGAAGGGTAGAAGAGGTACAGAAAGAGGGAAGATGGCATGAATACTGGGAAGCCTTTTGGTGTCTCCCATTTCTACATTGCTGAGCAGCTCTCTTTATTCCCCCCCACCCACCCACAGCTGGCATCTGGAAGGTAAAAAGTAACTGGTAGAAGTCAGACTGAATGGAAGACAAGAATACTTGCAAGTCTGGAGGAGTCCTAATACCAACCCTCTGGTTAGATAATTTGCTGGAAAGACTCACAGAACTCAAAGAAAACTATTGTATTCATGGTTACAGTTATTACTGTAGGGAAATGTTAAAGATCAAAATCAGCCAGAGGAAGAGATGGAGAGGGCAGAGCTCAGAAGTACGAAACACAGCTCTTGTCCTTTCTCCATGGAGTCAGAAAGCATTATTCTACTGGCATCGATGTGTGACAGTGTGCACAGAGTATTGCCAGCCAGGGAAGCTCATCCAAGCGTAGGAACCCAGTGTTTATTGGGGCTGCTTTACATATGCATGATTAATTGTCCATGTGGTTAATCACAGTCTCCAGGTCAGCTGATAGTGCATGACCCAAAACCTCTACTCTAAATCACATTGTTGGTACTTCTGGTATGTTGTACCCCACTACCGTTTAAGACTATAGATTTGTCCCACCCCAGCCATTAATCATATTGTCAGGGCTATTCATTATAACCCAAGATCCCAGGTAAACAAAGGCATGCCTATGTAGCATAACATCCCAAGGGCAAGGCCAAATTCCTTTCTACACAGTACTTTACTAGGAACAAGCTTTATATATACCGTCCACTGTATCAAAGGAATATAAAAGATTGACACCAAGTATTGCAGGGGAAAAGGGCTCACTCCAACAATTAACTTCAAAGTTGAGAAGTCCCACCCATACTCTGGTGTTTTAGACCCCAACTCTTATTCATGAGACTCCCATCTAGAATTACCAGATATCTAATGAAAGCCTCTAGTCCAAAACCAAAAGAAAACAAAAGTAATTTTCAGGGCTCAAATGATGCAGTGAGAAGAAAAGTCCCCCTGCCAAATGTGTTAATATCCTTAGAGATGTAAGATACCACATCTACAAAATAACAGGATGCTAGAAAATATGAAAATCTCAGAGGAGAAAAAAGTTTCTATTAATATAATACAGACTAGAAATGAAAAACAATCATTGGAAAAGAGTGTTGAAATTTTCCAAATGCTAGAAAGATTGACAATAAATATAAAAGGTGGGAGAAAAGAGATACTGTACATAATTTAGAGTCCAGGAGTTCCAATATCTAAACTGTAGGAGTTCCAGAAAGAAGAAAAATAAGATCAGAAAATTATAATTAAACAAATTTTACAGAACTTAGTGACATAGCCAGATTGAAAGATATCTTCAAATGTCTAGCACGATGCATGAAAATAGACTCATTCCCAAGGCACATAACAGAAATTTCAGAACATAAAGAGAAGACTAAGTTTCTAGAAAGAAAAAAGGAAAAGGGATGTACAAAAGATTAGCAATTAAGGATTTTTCTTTTCAACCTCTGCGAGCACAGAACAATTTAGTAAGGATTTGATTTCTCAACAGCAACACAGCAAGAAGAGAATCTCTCCAATTCTTTGGGGAAAGTTTTCTAACTAAAATTCTACCCAAATTATCAAACAAGTATAAAGGTATTATAAAGGCATTTTCAGACATGAGTTAGGTCTCAAAATTATCTCCCATGTACTCTTTCTCAGTGAGTTACTGGGAAATGTAGTCTACCAAGCTACGGTAACCCCACTGAGATCTTGGTTTCTAAAACCATTCTCCCATGAATGGAACTAGGTTTCTCTGGAGAAAATGGCTGATTCTAGAGCTGGAGCTGGGAATATACGAGACAAATCTGGAACATCTTGTACCAGGAAGTAAAGTGATCAAAAAACAGTAGTGAGTGACATCAGCAAGACGGGAAAATATTAATACGAAGCCCTGCCGGGCGTGGTGGGTGACTCATGCCTGCAATCCCAATTCTTTGGGAGGCCGAGGTGGGGAGACCATGAAGTCAGGAGTTTGAGAACAGCCTGCCCAACATGGTGAAACCCGGTCTCTGCTAAAAATAAAAAATTAGCCCAGCGTGGGGGTGTGTGCCTGTAATCCCAGCTACTTGGGAGGCTGAGGCAGGAGAATCGCTTGAGCCTGGGAGGTGGAGGTTGCAGTGAGGTGAGGTCATGCCACTCCACTCCAGCCTGAGAGACAGGACAAGATTCCATCTCAAAAATAACATAAAATAGGCCAGGCGCGGTGGCTCACGCCTGTAATCCCAGCACTTTGGGAGGCCGAGGCGGGTGGATCACAAGGTCAAGAGATCAAGACCATCCTGGTTAACATGGTAAAACCCCATCTCTACTAAAAATACAAAAAATTAGTTGGGCATGGTGGCGTGTGCCTGTAATCCCAGCTACTCAGGAGGCTGAGGCAGGAGAATTGCCTGAACCCAGGAGGCAGAGGTTGTGGTGAGCCGAGATAGCGCCATTGCACTCCAGCCTGGGTAACGAGCAAAACTCCGTCTCAAAAAAAAAAAAAAACACAAAATAATAAGTCCCAGGCCCTCATGCTCTCGTAGAGACACTTAACAATATAGGGACCAAATTGCCTTTGTGGGGATTTTTCAGAAATCGGTTAAAAAGTTGCAGTTTCCCAGGTGAATGTAAAAGCAAGAAGAGCTGATTTGAAGCAGGTGAGAAAGTCTATTACATTTGCATACCATAGGTTCTCCCAGTACCAAGCACAGTGCAGCACAACCTGGAGAAATCTCCCACTTGCACCTTCTCTCTCAAGAGGGAAAGAGTAGAGTGAAATGTATGTCCAATGTTCTGGCTTACAGTGGTGCTGCCCAAGGGACTGATTTCTGTTTATGTGACTCAGAGCACTGACAGGAACACTGTCATACTTTGGACAATTAGGGGCTACTGGAACAAATGTGAGAGCTGTAGCCTCGTTACAGCACTGTAGGATCTGGTATCATAAACAGATAACAAGGGGAGCAAGAAATTATGAGGTCCTTAAAAAGAAACAGGGGCAAACCTCTTTAGGAAATTACAGTCAAATCCAGAAAAGATACATCCCTAGAAAAGATTTGAGACGTTTCCAGGATCTCCAGCTACACTAATCGGTGTTGCTGTTACCTTTTTTTTGAGATGAAGTGTGGCACTGTTGGAGTGCAGTGACACAGTCTTGGCTTACTGCAACCTCCCCCTTCCAGTTTCAAGTGATTCTTATGCCTCAGCCTCCTGATTAGCTGGGATTACAGACACATGCCACCATGGCACGCTAATTTTTGTATTTTTAGTAGAGACAGGGTTTCATCATGTTGGCCAGGCTGGTCTCGAACTCCTGACCTCGTGATCCACCCACCTTGGCCTCCCAAACTGCTGTGATTACAGGCATGAATCACTATGCCTTACCTTTTTTTTTTTTAACTACAGGGTCCAAGCTGGAGTGCAGTGGCTTGATCATGGCCAAGATCATTCCAGTGCACCCCAGCCTGAGCAACAGAGGGAGACTCATCTAAAAAAAAGAAGAAAAGAAAGTATAAAAACACATGGAAATTTGACAACATGCCACTGACCAACCATTGGGTCAATGAAGAAATTAAGAAGAAAATTACAAAATTTCTTGAAACAAATGAAAATGAAAACACAATGGAACAAAACCTATGGTATACTACCAAAGGAGTACTAAGAGAAAAGTTGATTGCAATAAATGCTTACATCAAAAAAGGAGAAAAACTTAACCTAACATATTAAAGAACTAGAAAAGCATGGCTAGGGCTGGTTGCTCATGCCTGTGATCCCAACACTGTGGGAGGCCAAGGTTGGGATGAATTGCTTGAACTCAGGAGTTTGAGACCAGCCT